CTGGTCATTAGGCTTATTTTAGAAACTGATGCGTAGGTAAAGCTGTTGCACAAAAACCCATCATTAGGCTTCCCTATTTATAAAACTGATGCTTAGGTAAATTTGTTCCACAAAAACCCGTCATCATACTTCCCTGTTTATGAAACTGATGCTTAAGTAAAGCCGAGAGCGATTAAGTTCCATGAAGTAGACAAAAACAAGGTAGAATGGATGCCTGGGGGTGAAGTCAGCCTTTACTCCTGTGAGATTTTGAAGACAAAAAAAAAAAAACAATGGTACAACTGTTGTGGACAGTTGCAGGCTGCAAGAGGCAATACTGTGGAACTGTCTGCAATTCTTGAGTAATCCAACTGGCCTTATTTGCCCTCAGCTTCGCCTAAGCATAAGCTTCAGTAAATCCTGTCGAACTTATTTGTCTCACTTCATCTAAGCGTAGACCTCATAAATGCGGGGACCGCTTACTGAAGACAGGTTTTTGAAAGACAAATCTTACTCGCATAAGCGCAGTTTTTGTTTGCTTTTAGTTAGAAGCTCGAATTCTTTGATTTTGCTTTTTTTTTCATTTCATTCACAAATTCAGATTTGTTTTAATTTACTTTTCTTTGTAGTGCCGTGTTGGTTTATTTTCCTCTTTACTGCTATCTGCAGTTCTTGCTTCGAACTCGTGACTGGCACCATTCTTCCCCTCCTGTATCATTCCTCCCCATTATCCTGGCCTCAATCGCTCTCCCTGAGCCGCATCTAGGAACTACCACCCAACATCCCCAAACCACATCCATTCCTCCCACCTATCACCTCATCCCCCCCCCACCCCCGGCCATACGATCCAGCCGCCAGACATTGGGCAGCGCTGCCCCACGCGTCTGGCAAAGTTCCAGCGAGCGGCGCCGCGAAATAGCGCTTGCAGAGATGATAGAGCAAAGCGCTGGAGTGTCCAAACACCATTGATCATCGGCCGAGCCGAGTTTTTATGCGTTTTGTGCTGTGCAACAGCAGTACAAAATGCATATTGTCACGGGGTTGTTTGTGTGTGTGTATGTCCGCAGCAACTTGTCCGCAAATTTCAACTCGGTAACCACAAAAGCTAGGAAGATGAAAATTTGGGGGAACGTTCCCTACCCACGTGTGACTCCGCAAATTTAAATTCAGCTTCCCCGTACCCGCGGGTTACGTGTACGGTCCCGTAAAAGTTTTTTGCGGGTAAGTTAATACTCGGGAACCACGGAGTCTAGGAGGCTGCAATTTGTGGGGAATGACACCCTGCCCACGCTCAACCTTTCCCATTCAAGTTCAGCGTTCTCGCGCTCTCCGGTACCACCTACGGCCTCGTAAGAATTTTCGCGGTTAAACTATTAACCCGGGAAACATGGAAGGATATTCATCCTTCAGGGTTTTGAATTCAGCTTTCTTGCGCTGGTGCGTGAAATTTTTAACTGTTTCCCAGTGTTTGAACTATTTTTGCATAGACAAAAGTAAAAAGCAGTGAAAATCATTAATGGGCAATCGTTCGGTGGGCTGAATTGCACAAAACGCATGACCGCACCGGCTAGTCTGGTGCACGTTGCTATTTATTTTAATTGCCCTGACGGCACTGCTGCTAGATGGCGAAGTGCTTTCGGTAGAGTTCATCGTTTGCGTCCCACCATTTCTCAGTACAACTACAGTCGAGGCAGGCGGTGGGGGATGGGAGTGATTTCGAGCGCTTATTACATGTTGAGCGTTAGCTGCTTCGTTGGCGTTATGGATGTGTTTGCATTGAGCTGTTTGGACAGAAAGCGGTACTTTCAGGTTGCGCGCGCCCTGAGGCGCTACGCTTGGGAGCGGCTTCGTGCCGCTCCCAAACGTGCAGTGTGAAGCGAGAGGCTTCACCCCTGAAAAACAACGGATCGTATCACTTGCTGCAACAACAGGTATGTATAAAGTGTAGGTTGGGCTAGTACTTTGCAAGATGATCGGATGACGTATTTTTATGCGTTTTTGCTGTGCAGCGCCAGCCAGCAAAAAAGCCAGCAAAAACGCATATTGTCGAGAGGCTGTCTGTGTGTGTGTGTGTGTGTGTGTTCGCAATGC